GCAACGTATCTGCTTGAATGTTTTGCAAGTTTGAATCCACTACAGACTGCAAATAGAGCATTAAAGTGGCAGCAATCGACAGGGTTATTCGCAATTTTGTTGCATGTACGGCAGCAGCACCCTAATGCTTTATCTTTCACATTTCCCTCGCTGCCTTGTCATTCGTAGGACAGGGCAAGAGAAATAACTGAACCCAGAGGGGCTGATGTAAAGAATGCTTGATACAGGGGCTGGCTCACATTTCTGCCTAAATAAAATGCACATGCATTAAAAAAGCCAGTGTATTTTTCTCTGACCAAACGGATAAGCAGATTATGTGTTCTTTGCATTTGTTGCTGTGCTAGACATCGCTTGCCTCCAGTGTGACCCAACAAATTTGAAAGCCATGTTCTCATTTTATCTTTCGTGAGGTTTACACTCATTTGGTTCTTGTTTGATGGGTGTCATTGCTAATTTTTTGCAACATTATGGAGTACTTAAATAAAACTCGTTTCCTGCCATTGCTGGTACAGTTTATACATGATTTCATGGCAGTAAAGGAAAAAACATGACGCTTGCTTCTCATTGAGAGACTCAATAAGCAAGCTTCAAAATAATTCGCTCACTTCGATTCTAATGATTGCATTATTGAGCTTTCATTCCATAACCAGACGCCAGTAACAGAGAGAGGACCAAAGTCCCCTCCATAATCGCACCTGCATTAAATTTATAAACAAAAAAAAATAAATGCCTGATCAACAGCCTTTCCTAGCTCCCCTCCTCCAACGCCTGTTAGACCATGCCAAATCTACTATACCTATGACCAGTTTCAAACCCTCGGTTAATGATAACATTAACAATATTTACTGGCCGTTCAGGAAGAAACAATCGGCTGTAGACCTATCAGGGTCAGCAGCGCTGATGATTTTCTCCAGATTCAGAGATGAAGTGCTCAGCAGTATTGGAAGGTCATGCGGAGCACTCTCCATCCTAAAAAGGCTCGTGAGTTATCACCCAAGAGACGAGGGTAAGAACCACACGCAGGTGTCCACCTCCTGCCCTATGCTTCTCTGTTACAAAATATGGAAAAGACGCAAATTAAAAAAAGTTATTATTCACTTGAAGGATTCGTTTTCAATCCAGTTATGCACCATCTCATGAATACTTGATGCTTGCAGGACACGAACATATGTTCAGAGAAAAAACAAAATACACAACAGTGAAAAATGAGAACCACAACAATGTCCACTATCTGCCTTGACTTGAATTATACAAAGCGGATGCTGGCTTTGATTTCTGGAGCAGTCATAGAACACCTCAATCTGCACAGGAGACAAAGAGTCAGCTATTGTAAGAACATTATGGCCCCAACTTCACTGTTAGAGGAATGAACTTGCTGAGTTCCTAAAGAAGCAACATGCTAGGTGAAAAAACCATTTTCAGGAACACGATAACAGGAGATACTATAGCATCTCCCAATTCATAAGCACAACACAACTTGGTGACTGAATAAAATCATATGTAGGTTGCCCAGCGAGCAAGCCACATTGATCTCCTTTCAATCTTATAATCACTATGATGCGGAAAATTACAGGAACAATTGCACCAAAATACCAATTTGGGGAACAAAAAAGAAGAGGTTACGGCCATCCCAGATTCATTTCATTACCATCAAACCAGATTGAGGAGTGGCAGCTGGGAGTGGGCCAGCAGAGATACAATCTGACATAAGTTTATTGAAAAAGAAATGCAGCCACTAACACAATATGTCAAGCAAATGATTATAGTGCTAACCTTTATTTTTGCATGTGAAAAAAAGAGGTTTCTAGTCATTATCTTCTCGGCCATAGTTATATACTATCTCAATCTGCAACACCACCAAATAATCAGAATGATACTGAAAAAATAAAAGCACATAAAACATAACTACCTTAATGAAGTTGGCACCAAATATCCATCAGTAATCAGTGTTATTATCAATTGAATCTTAGCAACTGTTCACTAAGATGCACAACAAATCTAAAAACATGGCAGTGCATTCCTTATGAAAGAAGCCCAGATGCCCCCAGGAACTACACATTTTAAGAATATAGGTCAACCTAATAAGATAATACTTAAAAATAAGAAGCTCTGATCTTCTTTTATGTATACACCCATCCTCCAATTTTTTTAACACAGCACATGTTCAGAAGACTTGTACCAGGGCCAATCACGTATAAATCCACCATGTTAGGTTTGGATATAGAGATTATTGATGCATCTCATATATGACACGGTGAAGGACAATGTCCTTTATTTTGAAAGCTAAACCACAATGAATGAAGCACAATATTTAAACTATCTAATTTAGCTACTAAACAAGAAAAAGAAATCATTGATCGGGTATCCAAATTCTAACATCCACATATATGGTGCCAATGCATATAACACAAGAAGCCAACAAAAAGGAATTGACTAAAAAGTTCCATGCCATCCCCAAACAAGACAGCGAGTAAGGGCGGGTGAAAAGAAAAGGTAGAACAACTAGAATAACGAATTAAATAATTAATCATGTTCGTTACCCCTTCAGGTGGAGTTGGGTTCCGAGTGAACTTGCTGCCGCCAGGAGCCCAAGGAACTGTACACAAATACCATCAGAGCCTGACAATGCTACATATAACCTTAAAAATCATTTCTTCGACAAGAAAACTTCATAAATTCTCAAAACCACATGAATCAATTACGTTTATAAAGACATAACAAGAAAAAAAAAAAGGTATCCTATTTAACACCTCCCTCCCTCTTGTATGCTCCTATACTTCACAATTCCACTGCATCATACATGCCAATGAAATGCTGCCAACTAGAAATGATGTTACTTCTTTTATCTTTCATTCATAATTTTCTTGAAATTAACAATCTGTTAAGACCCAAAGTTTGACAAACTGAATTAAGCCGCGGTCAGTCCTTATCACTCTCCTCCCTTACATAATTTAACACTACTCTTAATTCAACCCGACCTTCCCCAAAAACCACAACCCAAACACGGAGTAAAAAAGGATAAGAAAAGGCAGTAAAATGTGAAATAGAAAATAAAAATTAATTTACCAATATAAGGATCAGGATGGCGCCACTTATTATATTGCGCCTCGCCATCTGCTATCATCCTATCGATTGTATCTGGATCTTCCTATTCCAATTCCAGGAAATAAAATACATATTAAAAAAATCCTGAATAAGTTACCTAATTAAAAAATTATCACCCTAAATCACAGAGCTATACCGCTAAATTAAAATGTCCAAAACATTTTTTTTCCAATTAGTTAAGAGAACGAACCACGTGTTTGTTATTCTCGAACCTCGCGCGGAGACGATCGGCCTGGTTACAGCAGGGGAAAAAAAAAAAAGAGTTAATTTATAAGAAGATAGAGCAGTGAGATCTGATTGAGGGATGAGAAACGAGTTACATCTTCGTAAAAGAGGTGGCGATGGACGGCCCAGTTAAGAGTGTCTTTGAGAGCACGGCGGTAGAGGATCCTCACTCTCTCCTTCTGTGCTGCTCTTCGAGCGAGGTAGCCCGCTGCTGCTACGCTCATTTCTTTTATTTCTCTTGTTTGGATCTCTCTCTCTCTACAGCGTTCTTCTTACTTTCTCACTGCAGAAGCCAGGAGAAAATGCAATGCTATCTAAAAGAAAAGTCAAACGGCATCGTTTCCACTCCATAAGGACCATGACCATTTTCGATAAAATTTACTAATATCTGTAACCTAGAAATCGCCAGCTCGCCATCCATTGTTTCTTGTGTCCTGGGCCTAAAGACCCTTAGAGATTTTTCTAAGCGACCCGGCCCTTCCCGGCACATGAACATATGCATTCAAAATATTTTTTTAATTCTGGACTTGTAGAAATAATTGTGGTGTACGTAAACTGAACAGAATATTTATGTTAATTAAAATATATATATATGTATTTTTTTTTTAATTTTTTATTTTTTTATGATCGATCCGTTGACCAAAAAAAATGTATAAAAGAGATAATTCGATGGAGTCTCCTAAAATATTTATCTCGAAGTGAATTTCTTCTGACATCAACCATAAGGTGATTGATAATATTTTAAGAACTCGATTGAGATTAAAAAAAAAATGGTGGTTTAATATTTTTGAAACAGTGCTCCTCCGTCCCATTCATGCGGAACAAAATGAATTAGGGTGAGAGCATAAAATTACACTGACGATGGTAAATAATTTTTGTTAGGTTATGTTAATTTTTTGAAAAGTAATTTTTAAAAATTTACTTTAAATTTTTTTATGTTTATTTATTATTCAAAAATTAATTAATAAAACATATATATTATAGTTAAATAAAAATCTAATTTAATTTCTAAAAAAATATTTTTTAAAAAAATCTAGATGGAAAATACTTTATAAAAATTAAGAAAAATTTAGAAATGTTCATATTATTTGTTAATTAATATTTCTAAATTATATCAAATTTTATTTTCAAAATTTTAATTGTTATATATATTTTGTTTTAAATATTTATTTTTTAATTTTATCTTCTAAAATTTAATTTTTATATTAACTTTAATTTTTATGTTTATTTATTATTAAAAAATTAATTAATAAAAAATATTTATTTTTATGTTTTAAAAGCATTTTTAAAAAAAATTAAAATTTTTTAGTTTTTTCTTTACTTTAAATTTTTTTTACAAAAAATATTTTGATGTATTTTCAAATAAAAAATACTTTTAAAAAACAATCATAACCAAATATTTTATACATGTTTTTTGCTATACATAAATCACAATCACAATTTTTACTAAACATATCCAATATCATTAAATAATTTATTTTTAAAAAATTTATTTTTTAAATAATTTACTTTTTTAAATATATTTTTTCAAAAAAAATAACAAATAAACACTTCCCAACAAATAAACAAACCTTAATATATTTACATTTTCAATGTCGTACATTTACATGTGATAGTCAAAGTTATAAATTATGCCTCCAAGCTCCAACGTTAAAATAGTCATAACATAATAACTATCTAAAAAAGCGTTACAACAAATTTTAAAAATATAATAGTAGATTTCAAATGCACAAACATGAACAGAATGGGCAAAGCAAAACCCAGTTCAACTTCTAACATGATTCAAGCTTCCTGCAATTTTTACAGCTCTAACAATGGGAGAGGATTTCATCCATGAAAACAATGATACATGGGCCTGATTCAACAAATCACATCTCCAGTTGTGTTACATGGCACAAAAGGAAGCCTACAAAAGGGATGACTTGCTGTATGTCCATCCCAAGGACCTTCGCTTTGTGCTTGAGTTCGGGGGAGTAAAACTAAGCCCGAACATCTCCTTGAGAGCTTGTCCCTGTTCCACAAATCTAACCAGCTTTGCGACAACGGCAGCACTTTCCGTGACATGGTTAATGTCCTTTGTGTTGCTCCATACGCGGTTTGCCAACTGCAACCTTCTACGCTTTGAGTTCAGCGCAATACCCCACTTCTTGTAAAGTCTGATTCTCTCTTCTTCTGAAAACCTCTTGTTCATCAGCTTGCTTAGCATCCCTCTCTCACGATGAAGAGCCTTCAAGCTGCTTTCCCAGATAAACGTATATTAGTGTTGCAAAAACTTAAAGCAGATCTATGTGCCAGGGAAAAAAAAAAAATCTGGGCACCCTGTAATTTTCAAGAGGGGAACCGTATGGATTCCAGATAACATTGAAGTGCAGCCATTCCGTACCATGCATTATCATACCCAACACCATTCTCTCTTATTAAGTAATCAAATGTCTTACCTAACAACAAAGGCTCAAAAGGTACTCCTTTTCTGGTATTGAAAAGGAAAAAATAATAATTTGCATCGCAGAGCCACAAATTGGTAAGGAAACTACTATTAACACCAATAGTGTCACGAGCTTCCGAAAAGGCAACAGAAAATTTTTTGTTTTTTGTTCTCCTTGTTTCTGGTTAGGTTCTCTTGCTTTATTGGCAGATCATGTGAGATATACATGCTGGATGCATTATTGGGAAGCAAGTTTCAAAGTTCCCAATACATGTGAAAACACATATCGAATATGTATGGATGAGAGAGAGAGGTTACCTTGAAGCTAGTGTGATAGCCCGACCACCTCCCACACCCTGATTTCCCTGAGAAAATGTTTCCTTGAGGAAGGAAAGTCTCCTATGCTCCACTTCCATGTATACGGAATCTGTTGGATCACCTTGAAAGAGCAAGAAAAAGTAAGTTCTGTGGATCAATGACACATTGCAAGTTTGCCAGAGTTCCAGCATTGCTCTCTGCTGTCTCTCAAATTCAAGAGGCCAATTGGGAGAAGTTTTCAAAGATTCATGCATAGGATCCAATCCTATATCTCTTGAACTCTTTTCATATTTATCAGCCATTGTCGATGCCTCTGTCTCCTGAACCTGTTGTTCAATCAAACCAAGCTAAAAGTGAATCTTGAGAGAAACTCGGTCACAAAGAATGCAACTTCAAGCAAAAACACTGAAGAGAGAGAGTATTCTCACCTGACCATCAACAAGTTGCTTCTCATACTCCTCCTGGGCCATCTCCTCCATTCCTGCAACAAAAGTGTGGATGCTAGGAATGTCCTCATCTGCAGAAGTCCTGATGCTCTGTGCTCTGAAGTCATCTGTGCAAGCACTTCCGAGAGATGACTGAGAGTCATTTCTTGACAATATTGTAGCACTGGCACCAAAATCAAGTGGAGGAATTTTCCTTCGGGGTCCTGCTGGTCTCCCCGTAAATTTCTTCCCAGATCCATTAGGTGGTGTGCTATCAATTTGTTCTGCCTTCTCAAATCCAGGAGAAGGGTCATTCATGAAATTCTCTCTACAACTCCTGCTCCTTGTTAAGTTCAGGTTTCTAGAAGTAGACATATCAGCTGCTGAGGACTGTGGAGATGATTCATCAGGGTAAGGACTGACCAGAGCATCAATGGTCCTTTGCACATGATGCAATCTCTGCTCCAACACATTATATCCATTTTGCACGTGACTCCCTTCTCTATCTCTATTAACTGGAGGGGATATTCCGGTACCTGCTGTGGCTCCATCCCTGAATGCTGTCAAAGCCAAAGTTCCTTCATTCTCACCATTTGATACTGAATGGTGTCTGAAATTGCTCCCGTTCCTTATCCCTTCCATTTCAATACACTGAACTTCCTTGCAGTAGTCATCAGCATCTTCTTCTGCAGCATCCTCTAGACTCTGAGATGAATTGTATCTGACAATCTTCTTTCCTATTGACATTGGAGGAGAAGAACCATCAGATGGTTTATCTCTGTCGGTGTTGTCAAGAAGACAGTAGGGTTCCTCATCATTGCTCCCATTGTCTTCACCATAACAAGCAGGGCCAAACTTTCCAGCACCTCTATTCAGATAATGAGGATCACCCATGGCTGATGATTTGGATACTGAACATTCATTTTCCCAAGTATCCCCTGCTTGCATATTATGACAATGACTGATGCCATTCTGAATTAAGAGCATGAAGAAATATTTAACAATTACAATTGGAGTGATATCATCAAACATGTATAGTGACACTTCCAGGTTAGTTAGTAAAAATACCTCCTTTCTTGAATTTTGATCATTTGCAATCACTCGCAGCAAATCCTCTACTCGAGAATGAGCAAGATCCCTTTGGTTAGTCAACTCTCTAATCTCCTTCTCCATCTGCATGAAAGGAACCACTTGATAGGGTGTAAGTCGATACATAATGTGGCAATCACATAGAATCTTCTACACTATATGTCATAGCATATCTTTAAGTTTTGCTCATCCATAAAGCTCAATCATACAGATTAAGACCATCTATGCATTGAGGAAATTAAATAATCCTTTGGGCCAACCAATGGCGATGGGTTGGGGTGGGTATTTAATGTGGCAGTCACGTAGAATTCTACGCTATATGTCATGGTATATCTTTCAGTTTTGTTCATCCATAAAGCTCAATCATACAGCAGAGTCTAGGCAATGCAGATTAAGACCATCTATGCATTGAGGAAATTAAATAATCCTTTGGGCCAACCAATGGCGATGGGTTGGGGTGGGTATTTGTGTAACCACAGCTGACCCAGAATAACCACAACCATCAGAATATCAGATTTTCTCAATAAAGAAGCTATCGACACATTCTTGATTGAGAGATGATTGCAATACTTCCACTGGTAAAATTTATTGGCCGAGTTCAAAAATGGAACTTTTGATTCTGAATTGAAAAATCAACAGTGCCTAGTGTCTGAATACCTTGGTTGGTATTAATTTTTTGTTCATCTTTCGCATGGGTAAAGCATTTTGCAGAAAAAAGTTCAGAAAAAAAATAATTACCTTTTGAATTTGAAGATCTTTCTGTCTCAGTAGAGATGTGTAATCACAAGTTGAGGAAGCAAGGTCAGGACTTCTCAACTCACTCTCCAACCTAGCCACCTCCTTTTGCAAATGCTTAACCAATGCCTTATCAGACATGACCACATTGACCTGTGCTTTTGTAGTAACTTCCTTTGCACAACAAGCAAACAAAAGAGTATTTCTAGATTGCTCAACATGGCTACGTGCAGGGCTCAATGTGCAGATGATGGCAGTTCTAGCATTGCCACCCAATGCAGGCTGCAATAACCGTGTCAGCTTAGAATCTCTGTAATTGATGTGTCCCTGCCTCCTATTACTGCACAAATCATTGCATCAGCCAGATATGAGATGTGATTGCGTGAATCTATAAATTGATAAGATTTCAACTTTCAATTTACACCAATTGCAGAGAAAAAAAAGGCGGCAAAGAAAATCAGTAGGAAGGGGGGCAAGATAAAGTCAAAGCAGCTTTGCATGATTCGTGTGTAGTAACCCTAAACAGACACCATTAACAAAATGCTCAGAACAATGTTCCACATCACTCAGTACAGTTCTAAAGCAGCTCGTATAAAAGGTGTGTGCCTCTGTGTGCATGTGCCTCTGTGCTCCAGGGACATTTGCTTGTATTTTTACTTTCACGTGATGCCAACACGGTTAATATCCTTTGAAGCACGCATGAGACTAGCCAATTTTCCTATATTCATTTTTAACAATCTACATGACACTTCACCATTTAGTACTTACAGAAATAACAAGCAAGATAGTTGATGGCAGTATTTCAACCACAAATTTGACATCTAGACTTATCAATTTTTTATTGAAAATTATACCAAAGTTAAAGCATTTTCAAAAAAAAAATAGGATTATGAATGATCATGACAGAAAATCGAGTCCTATACAAATGCTGAAAGAAACTAGATTTAGTGCCTGTGGCAATTACAGATTAGTTAGTGAATATCAGCTAAGTTAGAAAATCTAGATGCAGATGAAAAACGTCAAATTATCACCACACTGCAATAACCACATGCTTTAGCCACAATTAATTATGTCACAGACACAAAAGCGAGCATTGAAAAGAAAATAAAAAATAGCCACCTTAGCTTGCGAATAACGGTTCCCAAAGTCAGTAAACTTCGGTTAATGTGGGAACCTTCTTTTAATCTTGCTCCAGTGGATAGTGCCTGAGATGCGCGCTCTCTTCCTGCCAAATCAACAAAATTCTGCACCAAAACCAGAACTCAATTCTGTTATTAATATTTTATTCCTACTTAATTAATTTCATGGGTGATAAAAAGTTGAAATGATCCGTACCACAGTGGCAGAAAGAGTGGTCGAATTTTCCTTGCCCAAGAATTCACAAGCAGAACTTTCAATTGTCTGCGAGAAATTAAAAAAAATGGAATAACTTCAATAACTCCAATTCAAATTCCACACATTTTCATTACAACTAGATGCTTGTACAATTGTGTACTATGGAAGAGGTCAAAGGAAAGGGGCATACTAGTCTAAGAATTTGATGGGATCTGGAGCTTTTCTCATTCAAGGACGTCTCCCCTATCCGTCTTTGAGCTGTTATAATACCACAGGATAAGTAGACACACAACACCACCCAATAACAACAGCAGGACTTTGTACAACGCTTTACCTTCACAAACAGAAAGAAGCTCCTTTAGATGATCCCAGTCCTTTAGTGTTTCCTCAGTGGCTTTCTCAACTACAGTCCCTTTCTGACCAAAACAGGAAAAAGAGTCAGACCAGTTCGTCAACATATTTGTGGAATCTAGAAAGGATAACAACATTCACCTCTGGATCATCCAGCAGTCGAAGTGGAGTGCTGTCCGTGCTAAGCAGATCTCGGATAGCTTCATTGTATATCTCAATTGCTGAGAACTTCAAGACAAATACTCTTTCTTCATGCTGTGATGTTAAAAATAGTTATACATAGGTTGGAATTAAGAAAACAGAAAGGAAACAGAAACAGTTTTAATTAGAAACTTTGATTACCCTATGTATATAGTCAAATATATCTGCTACTGTATACTCAGTTATTCCCATCATGGTGTATGTTTTTCCACTGCTCGTTTGCCCATAAGCAAAGATACTTGCTGGAAATAGCAAAAGTAGGTGAGATTTCTTCGCTTATTGGCAAATAAAGTGACAAAAAGAACTTGAGCATCATACTTACAGTTAATACCGCTGACAACTGAAAGGGCAGCTTCCTTAACTCCTTCCTCGTACACTTCCCTTGTAGCATTGTCACCTCGAAATACTCTGTCTATCCCCAGAACATGGGCAAATGAAATGAGATGAAACACTTAAACAGAGAATTATGTTACTAAAAGCTGGCTGTTAATTCAAATTAACTAACTTCTATAAAGTTTGATGCAATGAGATGCACACTAAATTTAAAAATTGAGCCAATGGAAGAAGCTATGACCAAATTTATACATGCCATTAGTGCTTTTGGCACACCATTGTTCACAGTGCTCTAACTATCTGACAGTGGACTGTGCTTAGCAAACAGTTCACCGCTTCTGAGGTCAGGTCAGGAGGGTTAACCAAAAACAAATGATTTGGAAGGCCTCATGATAAATGATATGTAAGGTAGAAAACCCACCATGGGTTTCCCTTCTGTTCATTGACCAAGTTGATAGCCTATAAGCAAAATGAATTAATCCAGTCTTAAAAACATCCTTGCTTTTGTTATGCAAGCATTACCAAGTACAGGGAACTGAAAAGCTCTCCAGGCATATTGTATAAAGAATATCTGTACAGAATTAGCTATATGTTTGACATGATGATCCTGGAGACATTAAATAGCTACCTATAATTTCAATCTGACCGAGCAAATATTTGCCAGAAAATAGAGTTGCTCTTGGTGTATGATGCCAGATACCTCACAGGATTAGACCCAAAAAACATGAGGGCCTAGCCTCATTAAGAGGGACATATCATTCTCATTTTTATTTTTGACACCAAAAAAAGGAATCACGGAGCATCTCCTTACCAAAAGTATAAGCTGATGGAAACGTGGAGCCTTCACGGAGGGTATTCCGGTACAAGATGGTGGTGTCATTGATGCATTCCCAATCTGCAACTTCATTTGCCAAAATCTCCTTGTCGCTCAAAGGCCTCAACCTCACCAAAACAAGAATCTTCTCCTCGCGGGCACTCGCCATTTGCATCTTCTCCATCTTCAGCAGTTCTTCCTTGCCAATTGATCCCATTCTCCCACTCCACGCTTGTTCTTCTTCTTAACCCGACGAACAAAATTAAAATGAAATAAGACCCATAATTTTCAAATATTCTGAAACGTAAGGAGACAGTTTAGATGTTTAAAAAAATTGTTGTATTTGCCTAAAGGACAGCGGGCCCATCATTTTACTTTGACAGTCCCTGCAATAAGAAAGCTAACCATAGTAAGAATCTAACAAACCCAAAACATAAGTAAGTACCCATAAAACAAGCAATTTACAATACATATCAACAACAACGACAACAATTAAATCTAATCATCGTTTTCAACCAACCACCCAAACAACCTTTTAAAATCACAAAAAATATCTAAATAAATAATAAAAGTCCATAGAAGATAAAGACTTGAAACTACAACAAGATGCTGATCTTGGATTTCTATCTAAATCACCCTCGCAATAGATAACAACCAAAAAACAAGCATCTGCATTATTTAAAAATTGTAAAAACAAACAAAACAAGAAACAAACCTTTAGAAAACCATATTTAAATTTCTAGTCTCTTCCTTAAAAAGTGGTTCCTAACCAGCTACAATGCCTGAAAACTAAGAAACAGAATTCCATAGTTTTTTTCTTGAAAAAAAAGAAACTTTCAATTCACAACCAGAAAAAGAGCAGCACATATCAGCGACTAAACTAGCACATGGTCCCCGTCGACATAACATATTCATAAATACAAGCTCGTGCCCATATATATGTATATAAAATACATAAATATACGGATGCAACATACTTACAAAGCATGGGTCACTGTCATGAAACGGTAAGTGAACAGAGTTGAAGCAAGCAATGCAGCTCAGATAAGATACTCTACATTTCCTCTTGCAAAACGCCTCCGTTTCTGCTTCTCTCTTCTCTGATCTAAAGTGAGAGAGTATTTACCTTCTCCAAATCTCAAGCTCTGCAAGCCCGCAACTGCAACAAGGAAGCCAAAAAGAAATCAGTACCAAAACGCAACTTTTAAAAATACTACTAATCAGTTGAAAAAAAAAATTTAAATCCCCCGAATTTCACGCATTTAACTGTTAACAAATACAGCGGTAAAAGAAAAATTACAATTAAAAAAACTGTTTTCTACCTTGAAGGAGTCAAGACTAGTAAGCGTACATGAGTTGATTAATCAATTTGTCTGGTGTATTTAGTAAGCGCAGATGAAATAAAATGATTTGATTTAGCTGCGCTTGAACATGAACTGAAACTTGGTTTTGAAGAGAAATTAAAAGATAAGAAAATGTGAAACTATTGCTTTACGCGTTGCAGAAAAGAAAAATGTCAGTCAAAAGGAAGGGTAAATTTGGTATTGAAAGACCAAACCGAATGGAACAGTACAAATCGGCGAGATTTTTCTCCAACAGAGAGAGAGGGCGAGAGAGAGAGAGAGAGAGTCAGCTTTGTTCAGTTTAATTTGGCTTGGTTGAGGTTCTATCTGTCAACGGGCAGGAAAAAAAAGCTGTATTTGTGACCCTCTCTCTCTCCAGATTCTGTGTCAGTGCAGGGCAAATCTGATGGAGCGTTCTGCTATCGAAGGTTTGTTTGTCAAGGGCAAAATTCTTTTTTGCCCCTTTTGATTAGTAATATTACACTTTGGTCTCTGTAGTTTGAGACTTCTTGGTTTTAGTCGTATAGTTCCTAATGGTTTCAGTATGGTCCTTGAATTCATTAAATAGTTGATTGTAGCAAATAGTAAGCTCACCTTTAGAATCATTATTTTATAGTTTCATATTTTAAGAGTTTTATTGTTTCATGTGAATAGGATTTGGGAATAAAAAAATTTAAAATATTTAAAAATTCACACTCGATTAAACGCCATTAACCAATGTTCAATGGTAGGTGAAACTATTTTATTTTTTTCCTTTTTTTTTTTAGAAACTCCCAGAAATGGGGGTCAGTAAATAAAAAAAACCTCAAAAAAATTGGATTGTGCTAACTATTGAACGTTGAAAAGGGTAGTCCTGAAGATATTTGAAACATACAGGGCTATTATTGAAGACATTTAACATATAAGTGTAAAGGTGAAATCATGGTGAATATACAAGGTCTAAATTGAAGTTTACCCTTTTGCGAGGCTGGAAGGAAGTCACGTGGGGATAGGGGTACGAGGGTTGGGTTTTTTCTTGTTCGGCGCCACGTGTATTCGTTGTTTTGGAGGGGCGCCAATCAATCGTCCATGACTGCCGGCGTTGGACCCCTTGTTGATGTGTAGTGAACGAACGGTTAAGAAATGGAGGGAATGGGTAGTCGGTGTGAACAGGGAGTGATGAGTCGGCTACTTAATTACATTAATTATCATGACATAATTAGACTGCAATTAATTAAGTAATGAAGTAAATAACCCCATGTAATTCAATTTCTACTATCGTGTTTCTCGTGTATAGATTTTAAATAATAGGTAAGTATCTTCATACTTCCATGCGGTGAATATTGAGTTTCGAATATGATATTTATTATTCAAGTATTATTTATTATTTGATATAAAATAAAATAGCAATATATATGTTACATCAATATAGAGACATGTATATTACATCATATTATATTAAGAAATTAAAAATATTTTATATGTGTTTATAATACAAATGCGAGCACATGCAGGGGCGGTTGATTCGTGAATGATTGTAACCAATAGCAAAACGAGAGGAATTCCAGATTCTTCTTTTGATTAGGTCAAGATTCTTGTTTGTTTTCAACCACATGTACAGTAATTTTTTTTCTGGTTTTCTTCTCAGTACAACGTTTTCGTGACAACGAGGAAGAAGATTCTGTATTGTCTATGTTGTCGCTGTATCCCATTATTGATCAACTACGGTAACCACTAGCCATGATGAAGCATGCCGGCCAAAGGAAATACAGTAATCAAACGCTCTGCGAGGAGTTAAGGAGATAACCCTTTTGTCGGGCAATTAATTATTATCAGGTTGCACGCTGCCTCTGTATATATATATGTTAGTGATCTAACCAGCGGTTATTGTTTTTATAAAAAAAAAACCTTATTTTAATATATTTATTTAAATAAAAAATTTAAAAGTGTAGATTAAAAAATTAGAAAAATATCTAATTAAATAAATCAATAATTATTTTTATATAAATAAAAAATATTATTGATAATAGAAAGATCAAAAAAATACAGTTGCGTGTTGTAATATTTTGCATATTTTGGTTGCTGAGTTAATTGATCAAAAAGGGTCCTTTTCTTTTTATCTCTTTAGCCATCTAATCTAGAAGGTTCAGTGGTGATGGTTGATGATGGTTCAACAAACTTACATAAACATAGATAAAATGGGATTTTCATGTAAAATTATACAAAGGCAAGCCACATTCAGATCTAATTTTGTTGTTAAAAAAATAATAAAACATTCCAACAATTTCAAGAGGAAAATAGAAAAGAAAAGAAAAACGTAAATAATAACACCCTTATCACTAGAAAAAAAATTATAGTAAATTCACAGACATCTCAAATTAATTATATTTCATATATCAAAAATATAATATTTTATTTATTATTAAAAATTATTATTGTTAATATGATTAGATGAATCAAGTAATAAATTAACTTGTTAAATCAATCAAATTATAAATCATCTTATTTAATTATATTTTTTTTCTATTCAAATTAAATTCAATTTTAATGAAGTTTCCTGGGAAACCAACCATGAAAGGACAAGTTTAGCAATCATGCTTCTATTGAAAAACCTGTAAAAGGGAAGGAATCTTTAAAAGAAGCAGCAGCGGAGAACCTGTAAGGTGGGCCTCCATGTCTTGTAGAAGAGGCCAACTCAAAAGTTAATGCGAATATAGTTAATTACATGTACCGTGTCCAAGTTATTATGGTAATTAATCACTACTTGTTAGGACCACTAACTTACCCAAACTGTCAATGCAAGCTCAAACATCTAGATTTTTTTTGTTTATATATATATATATATATATATATGTATGTATATATATATATATGTATGTATATGACATTTTAATGCCAGAAATAAATTAAAAATATTTTTATATAAAAAATACTATAAAAAACAGCACAGACTACATTCCAAAACAACCATTTAAAAAAATAAACTTGCAGATGCAGGTGAATGATCCATGTAGTGGATATGTGGAATCGTGGTGTGAGAGAACATGAACTCGATAAACCTTATTTATTCAACACGTGGCATATTAGCGAGGGAGTTGTTGGAAGGATGTGTTTGACGCAATGATAACTAAGTTATTTGAATTTCTGGCAAATTAATTATATGCTCTTTCGATCAAGTTTACAGTGTGGTGTTTTATATGCGATTTTAGAGAAGTATATAAATGAGTTCAGTTTATATACTAATGTAATTTAACATTTTCTAAATCATGAATAAAAATTCAAGATAAAAAAAATATGCAGGTGTAAAAAATAATATTATTTACAGTGTTAACACAGTTGTATCTGTGAACTCGTTGCCGGTGAAACAACCACGGTACATTGCAGTCAATTCAGAAGCTTCTTTCTCTTTCTCCTGCTCCATCCAATATCCCATCACCAACAATAATTACTCCAAGACAATGAATTAATGCTGATTACAGTGATTAGAACTATGCGTTGGATTTCTCTCCCTCGACAAGGATGTCCAGATTAACCTCCCGTACAATCCTACCTGCCCTGCTCGTGCCCGAGCACCAAGACATGTAAGAACAGGACAATAATCTCATAGGACTCATATCTTATCGAGAAGTACAATCTGTATTCAAGGAAGCCAGATATAGCATGGCATCGGCTTCCCGAGAGCACCACAGATCTCTCATGAACTACGAGAAGTACAATCTGTATTGGAACTATGCTGACACGACGTTAGTCCATTAATTATGATCACCGCCGAGAAAGGAGGAAGTGGCTTGCACATTTCTTTCATGAACAAGTTGTCATGATTATTTTGAAATTTGATTTCAAAGCAGCTTCAGCCAAGGTCACGCCGCTGAATAAATTATAGAAGTGATTGAGTGGATAGTGTCTCCGTGTAAAAAAAAAAACCTGTCTGTAATTTTTTTCAACACCGTACAATGAAATCAGTACTGTGATTAATGAACTTTGCATGATTATTTTTATCACCTTGAGCTGGAAAAAAAATTAACTGATGTTACATTGGATAAAACTAAAAGGTGTGCCAGTAGCATTTTTATTCTCTCTCTCTTTTTTTTCTTTTTCATTAGCTTGAGAATAAGGTTTGTGTGTGCGCGGGCATATATTAAATAACAAAAATAAAAATGCGTGTGTGCGTGTGTAACAAGTAATGTATATATCAAAAAAAAAAAATCACTCATTTAAATCATTTCAGATCGGTGTCCGAATTCGAATAAAATTGTCAATCCCTTTATCAAAGTAACCTGAACCTTTGAGCCGTCGTCTATTGAAATGAAAATGCCGATGAACTGTTCTCGCAAGTAATGACCAAATGCTTGCCCTTTGCAGGGGCAGAGCTATGGCCCAGTACCAAATCAATTTAAAAGTAAGCCATGCCGGGCCAAGAGGACATGGTTTAGAACGGCCCAGAGAAGCATGATGCGTTTGCCTTGTTGGTGTGGAAAAGCCCGGCCTGTAGCAATCTCTCTGTTAAATTACAGTTTTCATTGTTTTTCAAAATATTTTTTATTTGAAATATATATTAATAATATTTTTTATTTTTACAATTATTATATTAAAATAATTTGAAACATCAAGAACATGTTAATTCAAATAAAAAAATATCAAAATTTTTCAAAAATATTTTTAAAATAAATTAAAAATTACACCTAACTAGTTTGAGAATAGTACTTTTATATTCGGTAATCAATTGATTAATTGATTTTAATAGCTTTGATCTTATTATTTTTATTAGTTCTTTTTAGCCAAAAATAACTTATCCTTTATCTTTTATCTTTAGTATACAAAAGTTGATAAAAATTAATACCTGTAAAAGTCTTATATGATAAGGGTAAGGATTCATTAATATTTAAATAAATATATTTTTAAAAAGAAAAAAACAAAAATATTATAAAAAAGGATACTTTAAGAATATATATGCAATATAATAGAAAATAAAAATTATAGAACTTTGTTTTGAATGTTTCGTAGTGTATTTATTGTTCACGAGTCTTTTTTTTATATTAATAAGGGTTTGCAGTATAATTATCCCGATAATATTTAATAAATAGTGAATATTACCTATATCTATATTGATATTAGATGAGAATATGGTGGATTCTCAAATTATTTTTATTTCTCACATTATTTTTATATATCTAAAAAATATTAGATGAGGATATGGCGGGTTCTCGAATTATTTTTATATATCTAAAAAGTTTAGGATTTTTATATACTTAAAAAGATGTGAATAAATTAGAGTTCAAGATGTTAAATGCATCTAAATCTATAAAAGTTGAGTTTTTCATCATGATTAGATATATAAATGGTTGGTTATTCTTCTCAATATGCCAAAAAAAAATAATTATTATCTTAGACTTGATTAATAATTAATTTTACATGTTTTAAATTTGATATA